TGAGATGGGCATATTTGTTTTTTTCTCTCCTCCACTCGCGTGTTATATATATATATATATATATATATATATATATATATATATATATATATATTTTTTTTTTTTTTTGGTCGCACAGAAAGAATAGGGGGAGTAACCTTGCCTGAGGTGGTCTAGGTGTGCATGAAAAACGTTCACATTAAACTGCTGAGTGAGTGCACACCGTTGCTAAAACTGCGTGAGGACTGTTGGGAGATGAAATCTGCAGACTTGAATTAAATGCAGAAAGCATGGCTCTATAGCTTTGCTGCATGAATCAAAACATGCATTCATAAGAGGAGTCTTGCATATGTGGCAGTGTACATTGATAAGAGGCTTAACACAAATATTTGGGATAATAATGTAGTGGTTTCTGTATGGTGTCGACTGGCCTGAGTATTGTTGAATACTCAGGAACTGCAGATATCGCAGCATTCAAGCAGGGCTGCAAGGGAGAAGGAATAGTTAACCCTTTTGTTATTCAAGACTAAAGCTCTTAAATGCTCTGCAACTTAAGCAAGCGAAAGGCAGCGCAGGTGGCGTTATTTCAAAACTGGAAAGGGGGATTGCTTTAACATGCAAACAGTTGGCATTGTTTTTCAATCTGCTTCCCCTCCTACCTATTGTAATCACCCTGTAAATCACATCATCCTTTAAAACCTGAACACCCCCGTCTTAATCTCCTCTTGCGCCTCGGAAGTGTAGGCCTACTGCAAAGCCGGCTCTGCCGGCCTTTGTTCAGCTGCACAGGGTAACATTTGGGTCATGCATGTGCAGCAGGCTGTCCTAAGCATCTCCCTTTGCTTGGGGAAGAAGAAGAACAACCCATGGACAGCGTGTTTGTGGGGTGTCGGGATCTACAGGGAAGCAGTATTTTGGAGCAGGTATGGCTGCTCCTGTTCTGCAACAAACATCAAAGTGCAGAACGAAGAAAACCCATCTTGGGACGTGCGGTTGTCTAAAATCTAAAATTGTAAAACTGTTTAAGCCACCAATCATAAAACTGCGTCGCAGAGCCATTTGTTTCTTGTCACAGCTTTTGCAGTTTGTTCTGCTTGTTCGCACAGCCAGTAGAAAGTACTTACCTCCACTTAGGCAAGTGGCAGCAGTGCCAAATATCCACTGTGAGCACTTGTCAAGCTGCACTACAGTCGAAATTGAAAAATGACAGCCCAATCAATACATCTCTTTCATGAAGCTTTTCACCCACGGCTCTTTTCCAAACTAGTTTTGAAGTCTGCCTAACACCCCCAAAGTTCCCCAAGCACTCCTTGCTGAGGGGTGTTTGGGTGTCTATAGAGAGAGAAGATACTGTCAGCACAGTCTAATTATCTCGATCTGTGTAACCCTGCAGGCGACTAAGTTCAGGCAAACTCCAGGATCTAGGCATCTCTGATGGGAGCAAGTTAACACTTGTACCAACAGTCGAAGCAGGATTAATGGTAAGCCTTGTCCTAATGTTATTTTTGGTTTAGCTTGGAATAAAATTACAGAAAGCACATTCAGTTTATTTAAAAGCTGCAAAAATACATTTGTTTACATAAACCATAAATGTCTTTTTTTTTTCTGTGCAGTCTCAGGCATCAAGACCAGAGCAGTCAGTAATGCAAGCCTTGGAGAGTCTAACAGAAACTCAGGTAAGGAAACTCTGCTTATGAGCTTTTTCCAACATCTGCATGTTTTGTGCCTCTTTGGGGTTTTTTGTGTGTGTTCAGAAATTACTTAATTTGATACAAGCTGTGCAAGGCTGCACAATGATGTTTCAATTGTTTAATCTTGGCCCCCTAAACAAGCCAAGCTAGGCATCCTGTGTGAGCTGTTGGGATATAATAAGCAGCAACACCCTTCTGTATCCTAGTAACGTCTGCGATAGTGTGTGTGTGTGCGCGTGTTTGCGTGTGCATGCACGCTGCTGCAGAAGGCTATCAGAGAGTAAACCACACACAAAAAGACTTATTTGTGAGCGCATAAGAGGCCTGGTGTTCACTTTCATGTTTCTATTTCTACAATCTCTCTCTCCACTTCTTCTGTATTTCACGGACTTAGCAGACGCACAGATGCACACGCACACACACGCACGCATACTGGCTAGTTTCCAGGAAGTGTGCTGAGGCTGCATGGCAATTGAGTATACTGTAGTCTCACTCACTCATACACAGAGTGCTGGATCATCAGATGGCAGCCTTCTCATTCTGTATTAGCATAGGGTTCCTGGAAGCCTCTCATGCATATATGTCCTAAGATGGGCCCACACCCTGCACTTACAGTGAAACAGCTCTTTAGGCCTTATTAAATACAGTATGTATTTGAGTCAGTGTGACATGACTCACTGAAATGATCAATAGTGAGAGTAAAGCAAAAGAAAAAAAAAAGCTTCTCATCAGCCACAGAAAGAACCTTGGCGAGAAGAGAGGTGATAAGACCGAACACACTTAGACAACATTGTGACGTATGAAGCTGTGTGCAGCTGACTGACTGACTCACATCCACTTCCTTTTGGCGGTGTTGGGCAACGGCGAGACGTACGTAACTGCATCAGTGTGATGTCAAACCGATGGCGAAACTGACCACTCGGGGTGTGCGAGGTTTTTGTCCAGTGAACGACGCCGACCTGCGCTCAGTCAGAATTTTTAAATCGGAGGACGCGGACTGCTCAGAGATAGCAAGCTGTGGTTCTCTATGGCCTCCCTGATAATTTTATGGTGGAAATCCTGGCCTGGTCGTCTGTGTGTGAACTCAGCATGCGCCTCGTAGCGCTGACAGCAGATGACTGCATGTGTGTAGGTGTGTGGACATGTTGCTCTATGTGTGTGTGTGGTTTGTTTTTTTTTTTCAGCACTAGTGAGCTGGAAGTAAGCCTTGCCCGTCAATATAAAAGAAGAAGATAAAAAATATATATATATATATTTTTTTTCTTCACCAGATGTAGATGATAATTCAGCTGCCAACCCAGAACAGCAGCTTCCTCACTTTGCCTCTCGTCTGAGTCGTAACCCTGTTTCGCTAAGATTCGCTATGAGTCAGATGCATTTTTCTTAAGAACTGCTTACCGTTTACATTACTTCCAGATTCATATGCTGATTGCAGTCCTGCATAAGAGGACTGTGAGATTAAAGGGCGGCGTGTGAATCATATTAGTACGAGGGGGGAAGTTCACGAAAAGGCCTAACACTGCTTTTGTGTGTTTATATCTTGAGAAATTGATTGAATTTATAATTCATGCAGCAAAATGGAATGCCATAGATTGTGGGGAGATTAGTGATACGGGGTAAGATTAGGAAACAGGAGCACCCAAAGCTCTCCCTCATTTCCTTTCTTCCTTCTAACTCAGGGTGGGGAGGCTGGCTATCAAAAATCAATCAATGCACTTAGCTTTTTAAAAGTGCCTGACACGGTAACTGATATCCCTAAACACCTAAAAATAGCCTCCGGGTGATTCAGGGTGGGTTTTGGGTAGTCGCAGATGAAGTGGACATAAACCCGCAGACCCCCTTTATTTAAGCACTTATCTTTCTAAACGTCTCTCTGGTTAAGTGAGGTCCCGTTTCAAGTTTGAGTGTTTTTCCAGGAAGTGTGTATTCATGCAATATGGACTGAGTGGATCACCTCATGTGTTCTCCTTTATCTGGATTAGATGTCCCCGGCTAGCGGCTATATAGCTGGGAAAGCAGCTTGCTAGAACACGCTGATTTGTCTGAGGAGTGTGTGTGTGTGTGTGTCACGTTATAGGGAAAATGTTTTATGGAAGTCGAGATCTGGTAATTATCGAAATTATGTTTTTCTCCCCAGTGTCCCCCATTTTCTCCTTCTCCCTCTCTTGTTCCTGCTTAACAGCTCTCTCAAGGCACTATAATTTAAATGTGCTGCGGTTTGCAAGTTTGGCTGTAGCTGCCTCTGTTTGGCCATGATGGCTGGCTTCTTTAGCTGCCTTAATTCCTCGTCTGGCATCAACTAGGGCCTTTTTTTCATGACATCTAAGCTGTATTAAGCCACTGACTCCCTGACAGCCCATCAGAATGCGCTCGCCTGCACTACTTTCTTCTCCTTCTGTCTGCTAAGGAGACGTTGTGTGTACGGCTTATATTTACACTCACAGATCTGAATTGAAAGGATGTACTTAGTAGGATTTCTGATCTTTGTAATAAGAAACCTGAACCATATAATAAAACGAACGTATACTTGTACAGCAGCCAGTCAAGTAACATGAAGGGAATTCAAGCAGTGACATAATTTCATCTTTTATTGATTATTGCAGTTGACAGAAACCAAAAGAATTTGCGCTACTTTCGAAACACAGAGACTCTATTTGCTCATTGATGCACGTTGATGCTCGAATAAAAGCCAACCAGGCGGGCAGCCATCACCCTCACCATCCCCCTCCAAATGCACTTCCCCCCTCCATTTAGTCATCTCTTTGTTCCTGTCTTAAAGCATCAGCACCAAACTGCCCAGCTCACAAACCAAGTCATCAATGCTTCAGTCACTCTTAAAGCTGAGCTGTAACCCCGCAGTCCTTGCTTATACCGCGTGCATGCATTGGCTGCTGTCAGCGAGTCAAGCGAGAGTGGTGCATCCTGATTTCAGAATCAATGCCCTGCCCAACTGGAGTGATGCTCAGCTGGCTGCAAATTGACAAATTTTTGTCTTGAATGCGTACAGATTGCTGAGGGAGGAAGCTGTGTGCTGCCATTCCATATGTCCCAGTAGAATACACTGTTACATATCTGCTCTACTTTTCCTCTCTCGCTCCTACCGACAGGCACCTCTTGTCCTTATGCTCCCCCCCCCCCCCCCCCATTTCCCCCACAAACCCACGGTTCCCTCTCATCTTTGTCTCACTCAAGTAACCACGGATGGAGCGCAGCTTTGTCATTGTCCCTGCAAGCAGGCAGATGCAAACTAAAAAGACCTAACAATCTGTCTGCAGTCACCTCTGAGTCACCCTTACCTAATTTCCTGTGCTCTGCATCCCTCAGGGAGCGCCAAAGTCAACATGACAGGTGGAGGGGAGATGAAAGGGAAGAGGTCTGGACGAGTGATTCATTAATGCGTCCAGCTGTGTTTGTGTAGGGTATACCCTGGAATATTGGGGGTAGTTGATGGGATGACTACACATGCCATTGGGCAACATAGGTCGTAACATACAGAAAGATTTTTGTACCCGTGACTGTCTATGTCTCGGTTCGAGGCTTTGTGTAAAACAGCTCAATGCACATGGTCGATATGTTTCTCTTTCCAGTCTTGCTACCTGTGCACCACCTTATCTACATGCTAGTTAATCAACCCTATTGGCACTACTGGAAATCATTGCAGAGTAATTGCATTGAGGATTTCTGAGTGCAAAGAATTGAAAAATTACCAACTGAGTCCAATGGCCAGTGTGACAAGATCCCCGTGTCCTTTTGCCACCATTGAAGTAAAGAAGAAAAAAAAAACGAAGCATTTTTTTTATGCTTGTAGCGTAAGAGAAAGAGTCTTTGCTCTCTACAATGATAATTTGCCTCCTTTGTTCTATCAATGAAAGCTACAGAAATTAATTTGTTACTGGATGTCTAAATCAAATTGTGTACGGAAGAAAAGACAATGCTGATCTGAAGACCCATTCAGTCCCTGCTCATGTAAATCCCGGCCTTGAAAATTGCATTAATAAGCTGATCACACAGTATTTTTGCACCTGTGTAATCCCTTTTGTATTGCTTAAACACACAGTCGAAGGGAGATGTTGGAATGGGCTTAGGGAATCAAGGTGTGTTGTGGGGCAATCAAGAGAGAGGTGGATTTTGCTGTGGATTTCATTGTCCTATTGTGCACATGCATCTGGTCGCGTTGGGCTTATGTGGGCGTACGCATGTGCCAACATCCATTTTTAATGTCTTTATCTTTGTGTGTTCCCTCGTTGAGCGGCCAGGGGAGTCTTATTTGCCTATGTTCGAGTCGTGACTGTCATTGTTTTCCGTTCCTCTGTGACACGGAGCTTTTGTGATTGGAGTAGCAGGCATCATGACTAGTGTGGCTACTGTGTGGGAGGATGGAGGCCAGGAATATCAGGTCTTATAGCCACCACCCATATCCAAAGCTCCCAGTCTGAAACAGACAGGCATAGGTCAAAGCGACTGAGGTTTTTAACGAAGAGATTTCGAAACAGGAAGTTTTGGAAAGACTTAAGCATTCTTCACGGATGCATCACAGCTGTTTCTGCACTGTTTTGTTGACTTCCTGTATCCCTATTCCATCACTGTCTTTCCCTTGACTTTTTCTCTCATACCTTTACCTTTGTTTGCAGCATTTGTTGTTGTTAACTGTATCCACATCCTCACAACAGCAATTGTGGTCATTTTGTGTTGTCAATTCTAGGGTCATGATTAGTGTAAATGAAGTATTCGGTGCACTATTTGCATGAACTTGAATGTTTTGAACTTTGCCACTCTAGGGTCTCTTTTAACAGGTGAATAAATTCTCTGGAAGTGAGCTGGACATTACTTATTGCTCACACTGTCTGTTTCTTATCAGACCGTATTACAGACAGCTATCTTTCTAATAGACCCTTTCAGGAGCCCTCTACCCCCTCCTGGCTACCTTTAGGATTTAGGGCATGGTGCAACTCATTGATTTTTTTTTTCTTCCTTGTCTCTTTCAAGAGCCTGTTATTGCATCTTTAGCTTGTGTGTCTGCTCAGAGACTATCAATAGTGTCCTGGTGCGATCAAACCATCTAGGTCGATGGGCAGGTTAATAAGCAGCTTTTTGAAGCTTACCTTTCACCTTGCCGTTCGACAGTTGAGCAGCTGCATTGGAACCGAAATGTGGCTGGAGAAGCCGGCTTCCTTCTCTTGTGACTTCCCTCCCTCCAGCCCCCTCCTGTCCCGCCTTCCAATCCTCTATCCTCTTTTCTCTGACACAAAGCTGCTCAGTTGTTCATGAATGTCAGCTCAGAGCTGCCAGCACGCTCCATCCCCCACCACCTCCCTCCCAGCCTCTTTTAGACTCTCAGCCTCTCTCTTCCTCCCTCAGTCCTTATCTCTCTGCCTTACTTTGCTTAGTGTGCAAAGGAAGAACGACTGCAAATGAGTTCCTTGAACCACAGGGACCCCAATAAATAAAACTGTCAGGCAGAGATGTCGAAAGGGAGAAAAAAAAAGGGGTGGGAGCCAGAGGCACACTCTCGCTGAATATTTCATCACCCTCTACCACTTTGACACCCTACCCCCATTGCCCGCATCCTCCATCCCCCCTTCACCATCCTGGTTTTCTCTGTCCCTCATACCACCTTTTCCCCTCCTCTTCCTCTCCTCCATCTTGTCTCCACTACTCACCCCTCCAAGCTGCCCCTTATCATATTCTTCCCATTCAGTGCATGGCAACCAACGCCTCCTGCTAAACATGTCCTGGCCGGCAGTGATGAAAACTGAGGGATTGAAGGGACTGGCTTGTTAACCAGCTCCTTATTTTATTTTATTTTAATTTTTTTTTTTGCATGCCACTTCTCTCATTGCAGCCTTCTGAGCACAGTGATGGACTCCTTTGTCTCAGAGGGCCCCAGCTGAACTTTATGAAATGTGACAGATTAGCAACCATGATTAAATCAGAATAATTCTAATTGACTTCCTGCTAGTAAATATTATTTATTGAAGTCATAAAACCACATTTCCTTGCAGAACACCGAGTGGAGTGTAGAGATTTATTTGAACTTGGCAGTTGCCAAACCGGTACAGAATATGTCTCTGGTGGATACCAATTCATATTTGGTATATAGCAAAAGTGCAACAGTAGATGTCTTCACTTTATACCTGGAGAAATAGTGGACTACCAAAACCTCGAAGGTACATAATGGCTAAGAGACCAGCAGTCATTGTGCCTTTCTTATAAAATGGCAAAGGTTGAACCTAGAAGAAAGGTGGCGGATGGTTAGAGGCTGAAAAACCAGCAAAAACAAAACTCTCTTTTGTTTGCCTGTAATGTCTAGAAAGCCTATCGTGTTGGTCCTGACGTCAGCGGTGGCCAGCTACATTAGCTGTCTTGGCTGGGCTCTCGAGAGCAGACAGGCATGTTTGGACTGGAGCTGAGCTGCTAGCCGAGACCACTGGGAATCATTTACTAGCCAACTCTCCAGCGCCAGAGAGCCCCACTCCCTCCCATCTACCATCTTTCTCTCACACAGACATATAGACATACTCTCCAACACATTTCCTCCTCTTGTTTCTCTCTTAGTCTCTGTCCGTCTGGAAAAGGCTTGTTGTTGCACGATCGCTTGCCAATCTAGCCTCTGGCAGGCAGGCTGTAACATCTTCCGCCTCCTCCCATCCCTTAAGAGATAAGAACTATTTCAGGTGTTCCACTCCACAGCTCAGAGCTACACAGACCATTTGCCCTTCTCTGATATTTTCTTTTCTGGGGCTCTAAGAATTGTTGGGGAAACGGCATGTTTTCAGGAGAGGAATTTCACACCTGGAGGTTTCAATGCGGCTCTTTGTGTTTATCTTCTGGGGGGGGGGGACGTGAAAGATGACCGCAGAGATATGAGCTGCCAATCAGACAGTCATCGAGATGTTCCCTGTCATTTTCCCTTCTAATGAGACGTGGATGTTTATGTGGGTTTGTGGCCTTTTAGTTGCTTGCCTGAAGCCGAGGTTGTGGTGGGTGGCATGTGTATCTGCAGAGACCCCAAATGAGTCACATTCGGTGTTACACACATTTAGCTCACATGTATGTGAGATCTAACACGGCCTGTGTGAGCGACTTCTAATTTGACTTCATGACTCAATGGCTGAGACTTGTGAGTGTCAAAAATCGAACGGAGGAGGGAAAAGAAGGGAAAAAAAAAACTAACGAGGTGCGAGGAAGAAAGCTTGCCTCTCTTGGAGGCTAATTTGAAGCCTGCCATGTGGTGTTGTGAGCTCAGTGGGAGTACATGATTTTCATCTTGGTGGTTTTGAATAATCCACACTAGTTATTATAAGGGTAATCAAGCCTCCTCTTTGTTTCTCCTGCTGTCACTCACTGTCATGTCTTTTTTGTCACTTTCTTTTTTTGCCTTTGCTTGCACACCCTCACACAGAAAAAAAAAAAAAAACAAAGTTGTAAAGCAAATACCCTGTTTAGTCTTGGCACCTTTAAATGTTCCTAAACAATGATTTTGGATTGAAGTATTTTCCAGGCCTGGGGAGAAGTTTAGAAATTTGTGTTTCTAGGACTGCATCCTATTTTAGAAATATTGCATCTATATATCCATGAGCTCATAACCAGGCTTTGTTTTGGTGTACATAGGTAATTGGATGAAAATCATTGCAATCTCTAAAAATATGAGCCTGGAAAATCATAGGCTATTGTCATGATAAGTATGTAGGAGTCCTAATTTCACATGATCCGTTCTTTTGTCTGATGCTCACACACCCACCAGATACAGGTGTAGGTAAAGTCCACTATACTCACGACCTTCTACTTTAGCACTGAGTTTTGCACATGCTTTTTGTAGTAACAGTTGTTAGGTTTTTTTTTCAGATTTCTCGATTAAATGCCTCAGGTTGAGTTTAGTTAGAATCAATATGAATACTGCATGCCTGTGTAGAATGAGAGGTGTGATCAGGAGCAGAGAGAAATACTCACTCATTAGCCCCAGCACCAACCCCCCACATGCTTTCTCTGTGCTCATTTTGTGCGGTCTCCCTTGGGGTCTTTGACGTAGTGTTGGCTGACTGTTGACTCTCTCCTGACAGCTGTCAGTCACTGCCTTAGTCAGGCCTGTTCTTTTTTTCTTTCTCCTTCCCCCCTACGACCTTTGGATTCTGCCTCCCCCCTCCCCCTTGAGTCGCACACATATACACGCCTTCTTTCTATCAGGCAACCTTTTGTGTATAGAGTTTCATGCAATACCCTGCCCCACCCTGCCCTCCTCCTCACTTCACACCGCACCTTACGCCTGCTGAGTTTGTTGCCTTACCATGCCGCGGTAATCATTGCGGGTGTGGACTGTATCAACAATCCACCAGCAGCTGAGTTTGCATTCAGAAAAGAAAGGAAACCTTACTTATGTTTGTGCTGGGACCTCTGGAATATTTTTTTTTTTTTTTTTTGCTGCTTTGGTATTTGAACATTTACCTTGCAAAAATGTTGTTTATCGTTCAGCCATCATATCATCTCAACTCGCTCAGATCTTTTAGTTGTCCATCCTCTCATTTTCCATCTGCTTTTCCCCCCCTCACCATGTCAATAGCAATGTCTAAAGGTCACCATGGCAATACAGGAGTTGCGGTCGATAGAGAAATAAATAAGCACAAGAAAACAGCGAGTTCTTTTTGAGGACAGGCTGGCAATTTTGGGGTTAATCGTTGCCAAGATCTTAGAAGTAAAGTCGAAAAATGTACATAGTACAAAGGCCAAGCAAGAAAGAATGGCCCTTCATCCTCTCCATCTCCTGCCAAAATCTATGCTCTTTTCTGCCCTTATTTAGATTGTTGTTTCTGACTCCTTTCCCCCTTGGGTCTAAAAGCACACAGGCAGCAAGGGCCGTTGAAATATTTTTGGATAAATGTGTCACTTTGTATTTGCCAATAAAGGGTGGTTTCTGCTTGCCTTAGTTTGGGAACAGCTTTAGATGTCGCCACTGTTGAATCTTCAAGACCAAGAACCTTTCTGACCCCTTGATGACTCCGCGTTGAAAAGACGCAGACTTTCAAAAGCCAGTTTCAGCACAGAATGTTTGGTATTTAGCGTGAAGCTTCCAAGCCAATTCCTAACAAATCAGCTTGCCCGTGTGCGGTTGCGTGCATCTATCCGGGCCATGGGCGGGTCAGTGAAGACCTCGACACTTGGCCCTTGTTGATCATTGCCAGAATTCCAAAAATGGGCAGCACTTCCAGATCCGCTGCAGATCCACAGACAATTGACTATTCTGTGCTTGAGAGGCAGGCGGGGTGTATTTCCTGAACGTGGGACAGATTTTTCAGGCAACAAGCCAGACAGAAGGGTGGCCTTTGTCTCTGAGCTGAATGACACTGCTGACTAAGAGTGGACCCAGAGGCAGTTGGAGGAGAGCAAAGAGTGGAGTCTGTGTGTGTTTGTGTGTTTTCCAATAGGTCTCCTTATCCAGAAGTAAATAGTCCACTGTTACAGAACTGTGAATGATTGGATGGTGGTCTAAATGTGGTATGCCTGTGTCTCTATGAGAAGAGGGGCTCAAAGCACTTTTGTGTCTAACTCAAATGCTATCTATGACAAAAAAAAAAAAAATAATAAAATTCATTTACGATGAAGGAATTCAATTCAGTTTGCTTCACTTGAGGAAACATTACTCAAAAGTATTTTCTGTTTTTCTGCTACGTGTGTACAGGTCAGTGACTTCCTGTCCGGCCGCTCCCCGCTCACCCTGGCACTGCGCGTAGGGGACCACATGATGTTCGTTCAGCTTCAGTTGGCAGCACAGCAATCTGGGGGTCCCCAGCTCCAGCACCGGCACCTCATCAGCCGGGGAAACACAGAGGCCGCGGCAGGACAGCCCACAGTGCAGCCGCCCCGAGTTCCCCACATTCACCCGCTCTCCCCCCACCACCACCCCCAGCAACCACACAATCACCCCAGCCCCCATCCTGTCCCTTCCTCCTCCTCCTCCTCTTCCTCAGGCTCACCTACCTTCCCGTTGCCAAACACGCACCACCAGCCGCTCCCTCCTATGTACCACCAGTCGCCCTCCTCCCCTCACTGTAGCCCCCCTACTCCGCCACCCCACTCCCCTCGCCCGTCTCACATCCCCGGGGGACTTTTCCGCTCTCCATCTCATCATCACCATCATCATCCTCACCATCACCACTACCACCAGCCCTCCTCCAGTCAACCCAGCCATGACATTGGCCAGGTCAGCCCTGTAGCCCCGGTTTTGTGCCCTGAGGTAAGACCCCAAGAAATGCATGTTCTTTCTTTTTATATTTAAGTTTTGTTTTTTTGTTTTTTTTGTTTTTTGTGAAGAGACCTACGGCTTACATTACATCTACACTAAATTAATTTGTCATAATTGAATAAGACAAACTTTATCATGCACACAAATATTCAATTCTCCAATGTAGCAACCAGAATAATGGAGAGGAATCTTTGGTTTAGTCAAACTGCTGCAGGGCTAAAGATAGAGGGATTTAGAAAACCGTTTTCTTGCCATCAGTCATAAACTTTTATGATCATTTATTTAACTTAGAAAATCTTTAACGGCGAAATGCGCTGCTCATACTCTCTTGACCTGCCTGAGAGCTGCCGTGAAAAGTGAAAGCAAACATCATTGAACTCAAGCAGAGTGCATATATAAGCAAAAATGTCTATTTAACAAAGAGGATATGATTATTCCTCATTACGCTACAACATGCATTCTCTTAAATAGAGCTACACGCAAAGAGGTTTTTGTCAGCAGTTCAGTTTCACTACCATTAAATAATTGCAGTAAAGCTAAGGTGGCTTCTAAAAAATGACAAGATGCATTAAGCCAGAGTTTGAAGTAACCTGGTACTGTATGGAATAGTAAACTAAGCTTTCATGACGTCAATATAGGGATTTTTTATAAAGGTTTTCACAGTTCCCATATATGAGCATTTGCTTGTATAATGAAGTGGAAACACTCACACTTAATTTTTGTCTCTACTGTGTTTTCGCTTCAGGCTAACTGCAGCACCAACAGCCCCAGCAGTGGCTCTAGTCCTTCAGCTCGCTCACGAAAACCTGGAGCCATCATTGAGAGCTTTGTCAACCACGCTCCCGGAGTCTTCTCAGGGACCTTTTCAGGTAAACAGACATTGAGCTCCACACTGAAAATCTTACTTACTGGACAAAATGAAGTTGAACAAGTTGTAGTGCATCCTTTTGTAAAACATTTCTCTATCTTTCGTCCTCTCTCAGGCACTTTGCACCCTAACTGCCAAGACAGCAATGGGCGTCCAAGACGTGATATCGGTACCATCCTGCAGATCCTCAACGACCTCCTGAGTGCCACTAGGCACTACCAGGGCATGCCCCCCTCCCTCACCCAGCTCCGTTACCAGACTCAGTGTGGGTCGCCCACCTCCCCTTCCCCCTCACCACCTCCTTCACCCCCAGTCGCTGGGATGACGGGCCTCTCTGCCAAAGCTACCTCTGTGCCTGCTGGCAGCCCTCCTCCAACTCTTCATCCACTGGTGCAGTGCCAGAGTCAGATCCGCATGTGCAAACCCCCTGGTGAGTGAGCCCTCTCCGTACACCTTTTCATCTAAGCATGTCAAAAACACAAACAGAAGCACACCCCTCACCCCTACTTACGCTGAGTCTTTGTTAGTCCCTTAACGCCCTAATGGCCTCACGAAGCAGATGTTCTTGCATTTGGCACCGCTTTGGGGGAGCATAGCTTGTGTGCACATTTGTGTTAAATGACAATACAGCCACTCATTTTTGCAAAGCTCTGTTCTTGTTTTGCAATCAAATGAAAAATCCATTGTCATCTCTGTCGTTTTCTGTTTCTGTTCTCAGAAGGCATCATGGGTATCTCAGTTTGGTTGGGATGATTTTACATCACTGTGCTTCGTGCGCTTATTTTTATCTTTTAAAATACTGATGATAGTTGAACTGAAAACTCTGACTAAAGAACAAAAACACTCAAGCATATATGTCTCTTGGGTTTTTAAGCAGATGAAAAGAGGAAGTGAATAAAGGAGATGGGGAGGGGGAGGTCTCCTTAGTAATGCAATACAAGCTTCTCCAGGCCTGTTCAGTCAGGCTCCACTTGTCAGTCAGTCGAGTTGGCTTTGTTTTTGTGCATCAAGGAGATAGGTTTACCTTTTCAAGCCTGGGCTGGGCTATGTTTAGATTAGATTAGGCTTTGGGTTACTTAACCTGTGTCCTAAAGAAGAGCTGCAGCTGGGACATGCATGGGCTGGACAAACCTCGACAGGTTCCCGTTTTAAGAGGGGTGGGCCAGGACAGGTGTTGGAGTGCGCGTGATACGGTTCTGGTGCAGAGCTTGGATGTTTTAAAACCCTCCTTTCTGAGCAGCCACTCAGGATGTTGAGCATCTGACAGATGTCCAGAACTGATAACATTCAGGCAGTGTTGTGAGGTTAGACTGACTGTGTGGAGAAAAACTGCATTGTCTTCTAATGCCTCCTTATCGTCTGCTGAGGAAATTCAACCACTCTATAGTGAAACACTGGTGAATCTTGTGCACAATGACCACATATTGTTTAATAGTCCTCTTTGGGTGGGCCCTAAGAGAACGTGCTTAGTATTTAATATTTTCTGCTGACTGAAAAAGAAACGCATCCATATTCATTGTTGTCTTCTGGCTTTGTCCCATGTTGTGCGTTCCCTGCTTGAAAGCGGTACAAGAACATTCAAAGTTATTGTAAAGACTGAACCCGGCATCGGTGGGATTAACCACTATTCCACTGCCAAACTCTGAGTACCTTCACAAGTGCTCACTGAACAGTTGTAATAACACAGGCTTATTTTTCCTATCTGAGAAAAGACCATTCCTTCACTTCCCCACTTGTCCATACTCACCCCGCCCTTTGTTCCCCTCCCCCCTCTCCCTATTCTTGCCATGTCACTTCATCTGCACTCAACCACCCACGCCACTGCCCCCCTCTCCCTGTTAGCCGTCCAAAAACAGCCCCGACTGTAGAATCCATCTCTCTGTCCGTCTCCTATTCGCCCCCGTCTCTTTCCACGTCTGTGTTGTGCATCAATACATTGTCTGTGTTCATTTGGTCTTTAAAAATAGACTTATTCCAAAAATCAGCCCTGAGAAGCATTTTCTTTGTGAGCTCTACAGCAGTGAGAGAAGGAGGAGGCAACGGAGGACACGGGTTGTTGAATCCACAACTCCGAGCTACTTATCCTATGGGTGTTTATATTCTGCCATCAACCATATCGCATGTTAAGTTTTAACCAGAGGCTAAGGGTGAAAGAGGAGCCCGTCTTTTGTTGTTTCTCTCAGTCTTCTAGACTTGACTTGCTGAGTATTTCAAACCTTAGTGACACAATGGCAGACTCCATGTTTTCTATTCTACATAGCAAGCAACAAGCAAACCAATGACTGAGCTCTGTAGGGCGATCTTATCACTCGACAACTGATGGAGGACTTGCCGGACTTAACACTGCGGCTTAACTCTGCGGCTTCAGAGGAACCTTCACTCATTCAGCTCCAGTTAAAGAAAAACGTGTACTTCTCATCTGACTGAGTATGTGCACATAGCCGAACTCAGGTTGAGGCAGCCTCTCGAAAATGTCACCTACCTCGGCTGTCTCTTGAGTCTTTACCCTTTCTGCTGCAAGTTCACGAGTAGAAAAAAAAAAACCAGAAAAAAAAAACCTCAACACATGCACATGCAGTTAGTCCCAGGGCTTATACAAGCAGCCAGCTTTTCCGCTCTCGCTGTGTAAAACTGCTGAGTTGTGAGGATTTGTCAACATGGGAGTCATGTTGAGTTTGAACAGGGGGGCATTAGCATGGTCTAGCAGACTGATTGTTAAGCTAAATTCCTTCGCTGTGTAGCGTGGACCGACCCCACCATCCGCCCTGCAGCCTTCAGTGTCGATCACCCCCTGCCCAGCCTACCCTATTGTGTGAGGGGTGTATATAGAGCACCATGCTGGACCATTGTGGGTCAGAGAAGGGGAGGCCTATGGGATTATATGGGTACCTTTTAGCCCTACAGCTGCTTTCGTTCAAACCGAGCACACAAAGACCGGGCAAAACAGAAGCAAAGTTGGCTCTTGAAGGCTCTCCAACAGCTCCCTTCCCCCTCATGTGTGTCTTCCACATCCTTTAACTTGCCCTTGTCTCCTTTTGATTTGTCAGGTCATGTTAGCTTCGTGCAGGCTAAGACAGGGCAAGGCAGGGGGAAAAAGGAAGGGTGATTGTGAACGAGGCAGAGACAGAGAAAGATTCTTTGCCCTTAACCTTATCGAGTCTTGTACTTAAACCGTGACCCACACGGTACTCGTTCTGCCAGCGAACTTAACTCCTCTCTCATCGCCAGCCAATATTCACTGGGATGCACATGCGCCACTAAAACTCACCGAATGCCCCCAGCGACTCTACACGGCCACAGAGGTATCCAGGAAAGCCAGCCAAGCACATCAGGTGCCCTTTCATAGTCGGGAAGGAGAGGAGAAGAAGGAGGGAATGCAAATGAAGTCTAAAAGTCATTGAAGAGCTTGTGTCCCTGCAGGGCCGTCAGTGCCCTTTCACTGGCTGTCAGGATGCTCATATTACCTCTGCTTTGATTGGTTGCTTCAGTATGTATCTGTGTAGGTTGAGTATTTTTTTTTTTTTTTTTTACTGAGTGGAACTGGGTAGCCTTTAGTTCCATGTAGGATTATCAAACCTTTTGGGGCATATTTCTGAGCTCTGCTTTCTGTAAAGCTTACACTCTCTGGTAGAGATTTTTGGCTGATTTCAACTGCTTTTTGGGAACTATGGTAAAGGAAACTCAATGAATGAACATTGCTCGAAATACCTTTTCACTTTCTGTCACTGGCAGTCCAAGTAGGAGCAATGCTGCACTATGCATGTACAAAAACAGTCGATGTAAAATAGGGGTTTCCTAATATATTAAAGCAAATACTGACTTATAACCAATAAATCTTCCGTTACTATCACTATCAGCATGTCTAGCTAGCATTACACAAACAGTAGTCCCAGTGTTTTTTGTTGTTTTGGCTAGAGAAAGTCCATCCCAACATGTTAGCACTTATACTTGGTATCTTCACAGGCAAAGAAAAAATAAGCTGCAATTTTATATATATATATATATATATATATATATATATATATAGCCCTCTGACCAATTAAGGCTGATTAATCTGAAAACTTGACAAACAATTGTTTTGACCAACAGCTGTTTTTTTTTTTTTTTCCTTACAATAGTGGTCTAAGACACATATAAATGTATGTCTTACAGGTCATTATTATTCCAGTTTAATTCAAAAAAATGAATTATTTATATTATTCGCACCTATAATGGAGAGAGTGCGGTCAGTGATACTAGATTGAAACCGAAGCAGATATTGCTGCAGTGTGATTCTCCCTTCCTCTCCTTTCCTGGCCTCGTTTTTTTTCCCCCCTCCATTGTCTTCCCCTCCCTCCCTCGCTCCTTCCTCTGGTTTTCTGGATGCTCAGCAAACACAATGTTCTCTGTGCAAGATCACAAGACTTATCAAGACAAACAAACAAACAACAGCAATAAGACAACTGCAAATGAAGGCCAATCTTTACACAATCAATAGAAGGAGAAGCTCCTTTAATCTCCCTCTGTGTCCTGGATGCTGCAGCCCTCCTCCTTTTTTTTATTCTTCCTTTCTCTCTCCATCCTTTGCCTGCTTACTCCTCCGTCCACCCACTCCGTCCACCCACTGGACCATCTATTCCCCCTCCCTCCCTCTCCCCTACCCCTTCTCCAGTCCTAGCTGTGTTGCTGGGCTGGGCTCAAAGGCAAGGGAAACTGACTGATGCATTGATTATTCATAGATCACCTCTTTGCTCTTTGACTGTTTTTCTCTCTCTTTTTTTTTTTTCCTACAACGTCTGGCATATTTACGAAACGTGCTTCAAAGGGACGGGCTAGGATCATTTTGGAGAGGGAGAGTGGACCGCTCAGGACGTTTTGGTGTGGCTGGTGTTAAGATAAAAGAGGGAAAGAGACTGGCATTTCCTTCTTCTGTGCCCTTGAGCTGTGCTCTGTTTGATACTGGTGGCGCATTTCTAAAAAAAGGAACCAGTGTTGCTTCCTTGTTTGTCTTTCCTGTGTCACACAAGGTTGTGTTTGAGTAAGGGTTCCCTAAATCTCTCCTTTGCATTTATACCCTATGTCGGCTCTCTGTGGGTGCAACTGTGCTTGCGTCAATCCCCAGCCCATCCAGTCAGACTGAGCCAATCTGTGTGTGTATGTGTGCCTGTGCTACGTGGATTGTCTGTTCTTTTTCGTATTCAGCCCTAATAATAGCCCTACTGTCATAAACATAGTCTGGAGATCCCTGCGGCCAGCTGTGTCCGGCCCAGCCGCCCAGGGCTCCGGTAGTGACGCTCATGAATGGCCGAGCTCACACACGCACACACACGCACACACACACAAGTTTGGTGGTGCTCCAAGCACATTCCCAGAACTCTTGCCAAGCCAAAGGCCAAGACCTCCTGCCGCCCCACCAAACTGCACTCTGTGTGTATGCGTGTGTGTGTGTGTGTTTCCTTCTGCAATGCTGAGATGAGAGCAGATGTACCCCCCCCCTTTAGAAACCAAGATCAAGACTAACGGACTATCTTGTCAAGGGAAAGGGAAGCAAATTGCTGCAGAGAAACAGATTTAAGTCTATAGGCAAACAGTGGCTTTCTGCTGTTCCATTATGTGCGGCCAGCTTCTCTTCAGACTAGTCTGTGCACATAATAAGAAGGCGAAGTGAGGACCAGTGAGGAGAACAAAGCCTCGCAGCAACGTTTGTGGCTATCACATGGTGCAGAAGGAACAATGGATGTATTGCCGGCCACCTCCCACCCCCGCCCCCTCACGCCCCTCACCTCTGGCGTACTGCCTTCGTTCCCGAGGGGGTGACACATTGTCCTCAGACAAAGTGCAGCATCTGGATGCACATGTATGCTGGTGTCAGGGCTGACCATATTGAAGTAAAAAGAAAACGTGGTATGACTAATGCAATGTAAAGACGTTAACCTTTTTCCACTCCTTACCTCCTTTTCTGGTTTTCCTAAAGCCTCTCAGCACTTTACTTAAGTGTACACTGCTATGGCATAATAAATAGTCCCGGAAGGGTTAAATTGCTTTGCACTGCTCAACCCGATAAGCAAATCGGAGAAAAGAGGTAAACGCAGCCCACACCGAGTCCGGAATTCATTCCGATAGAGAGGGGGAAAGCAGAGGAGGCCATAATCGATTCTGCAAGCTGACACCTACGGCTGATCCTTTACCCTCCACCTTTTTCCTCCATCGTTTATTCCATCCCCCCAGCCTCAGGGGGAGGAATTCCTTAACCCACGCCGCCGTCCCCTCCTCGCTGCGTCCCCCGGCCGCCTCCCCCCTCCACCTCTTTCTCTTCTCCGCACACAGCCCTACCTAGCTGTCTCTGGGGAGACATGGGCCAAGATACTGGAGAGGGAGGGGTGAGCTAAGGGGTAAAAAGGGCGCAGTGTTTGGAGGAAGAGGGGGGCACTCAACGAGCTGCGATTTGGAAGCTAGAGCTATAATAAAGAAATAGAAGAAAAGGAACTATTTTAGTCTCTCTTTCTCTTCTCGCTCTCTCATCGCTTACAATTTCCATTCGCTTGCATTTTCTATTGAAAGCCAATAGCGTTGTCCGGGGCTGGAGATGGATGGCTGCACTAGAGCTAAGGTTTAATCAATAGGTCTTTTTAATTTGCCATCGATCCACGTTAAAAGCTACTGCGCCTGTTGGTGCTGCGTCCGTGTGTGTGTGTGTGTGTGTGTGTGTGTGGACCTTTTGAGAGAGTGCTCGTGTGCATCCATAGCCATGCATGACTGTACACATCGTGTGTGTGTGTGTGTGTGTAATGCGGATTCCAGTGTGTCCTTGTGTGTGTTCTCGTGCACGTGCAGAGATGGCCACTGTGCTTCGGTTTATTGACATCCTAGCCCAATATTTAATTATTTAATTCCAAGACAGATACTAATGGAGCTAGCTAATAGATTGTGGTTACCTTCCCTTCCTTCTAAGCCCTCCGAATATACGCATAAATGGAATTAGGCTCGACTTGGCCGGTGTTGGGATAGCATTCGCAGTGCAATGCAAGACCTCTCCCTGGAGACTGGAGTCTCCTATAGGCACATCAACAGCTAGAAATGCACTTAGGAGAACACACACCCACTGAAGCATGTCATACTTAATTGTGTTTGCAAATATCACAGGGAGCCACGAGCGTGTGCTGGCTCTTTCGTATGTTTTTACCTTTATCTGCCCTGCTTATGGCTCTCAAGGAGATACGATTCTGGGGGGAAAAAAAGAAAAGGTTTCCCCACTCAGTGAGGAAGCTGATGGGAAGTTAACCAAAAGATTTAACAGCGAGCTCCATGAAGTGTCTGCTTTTAAGTTTGGTGCACATAGGGAAGGAGCGAAACATGTTAAAGAAATATTATCGAGAAAAAAAAAAAAAAAAAAAAAGCGCCCCTTCCTTCCCTTTAAAATTCTTTTATTTAGTGGTTAAAGAACAAACAAACAAACAAAAAACTTCATGATCTTGTAGTTTATTTCACCAGTTACCAAACAATACTAACGTGCCCCTTTGTTTCGCGCAGGTGACCGCATCCGTCAGACCGAGAACCGAGCGACTCGCTGCAAGGTGGAACGTCTGCAGCTGCTGATGCAGCAGAAGCGTCTGCGCCGGAAGGCCAGGCGGGACCAGCGAGCGCCCTACCAGTGGCTGCCAAACCGCAAGGCCGGGCGTAGCAACAGCAACAGCAGCATGTCCAGCGAGGGCTCCCTGGACCTGGACTTTGACGACTCGGTCTGGAAGCCCGACGTCAAGGCCGACTTAAAGTCCGAGTTCGTGATGGCCTGAACGCCTTGTCCAGCCCCCGTTCTTCGTGAAGATTCGTAGAATTTGTGAAGCGTTTCTTGGGATTAATGTGGAATTATATTATGAAGGCCATGTCTTGGCAGGAGGTGAGGGGGAGAGAAAAAGTTGTCCTTGTGACTGTTATCTGCCACATGGGAGAAACAACCGCCCCCCCCCCCCCCACACACACACACACACACACACTTGCCCCCCCTGCAGACGCTAATCCCATTCTGTCCTTCACAACTGACCTTGTGAAAAGCAGCAACAATAGCAAAGGAACTTCATTGTGATGCTTGGACTTTACAGGCAAAACACCTGGACTTTACAGTGTACAAGACTTTTCTTTTCAAGGTGTGATATCACAGATCACATCTCCACTTGAGCAAAGCAGAATTTAGTGAGTGGTGGTGGTATTTTTATTTTTTTTTTTTCCCTACATTTTTTTTAAAGTGCACTCTGGGCAGAAATGAAGAGATCCACACTGGACTTATGAACAGAACAGGAGCACCAGAGACTGTGGAAATATTCCGATGGGCATTCTTATTGTTCTCAAAACCAATCAATCGGAGTCCAGTTTTGTTTTTCCTCTGTTACGGAGTGGTTAAACCTTTGTTTTTTCTTCTTTTTTTTCCACTTTTAAGCATATTATATTTTATAAACAAAAAAAAAAAAACAATATGTAGCATTGTTCACAAAGCATTCAGGTTTTCATATAACAGTTCAAAGTACTTGTTTATTTGCACATGATGTTGATTTATAACAGCTGGTCAATATGTGCAAGGAGGAGGAGGAGGTGGTGGTGGTGGTGGGGCCTGAAATAGAATAATAATAAAAAAAAAAGAAAGAAAATGACTATCGAAGTATTGATGTTGACCTCAGTGACAAAGGGTATCGATAGGAACGACTAATAAATGAACAAAATGAATTAATATTACAAAGTGCTTTAGAGGATTTTAAAATCTTTAAAAAAAATTAAAAAAAGAATATATGATAGAAAACTCTATTTTTGTTTCTCTTCCTATCTGCTGTTTTCTAAAAACAGCAGCCCTCTGCGGCTTTTAGTCAAGTTGTTGACTGTCAGCAAATATGTGCATCCATTCAACCATTCGTTTGCCCATTTGTGGAATCATCTCGTCTCGCCACAGCGAACCGTAGAGAGCGACCCCTCCCCCCCCCGTCATCCAGCCCCAGGTTGACGTCTTGCAGACCTGGACTGACTTATCCGAGGGAGTTTGTGTACATAACTGTGACGATTTACAAATGTTTATGAGGGTGTGTGCGTGTGTGTGTGTGTGTGTGTGTATGTTTTGCTTTTATTTTTGTTGTTATTAATTTTAGAATATTCCATTGTTTTGTTGTCATCTCCTGAGTAAACCCTACGATCTCCTCGCGTCGTGTCGATCGGCCGCAGCGGAGGCGTGGGTCGAACGAAGCGGCTCGTTTAAAGTTTGAGGCCCTTTATCACTAGTTTTATCGAAAGAGGAAGGAGCAGCGGCGTCATTTTTCTGGCATCATTATCTAGTGCCTGGACCAGTAACACCCATTGACATATCAGGTTAGGCCTTTCACAGTTTTGCTGCTAACACGTGGGAGCTTAAAATGACACAAAAGAGAGAGGAAAAAAAAAAAAATCAAAGCTACAGGGGGAAAAAGGTGACATTTCTTTGCATGCAAAAGGTGTGAAATTACAAAGATCCTTTATATATATATATATATATATATATATATATATATATATATATATATATATATTGATGGAAGAGAAAATACAAAGTGGTGCTTTGGTAATGAAGGTTAACAACATGCATGAATTTGTGGAAAAAAAAATGAAACAATGCTGCTTTTGTTGGTTAGGTTTTTGTAACCTAACGTTTTAATGTTTGTTTAAAAAAAGAAAAAAAAGTGTCCTGCTAAAGAGTGACAATGCAAAACCAAAACAGATGAAGATGAACTCGTGTTGTGGCTCGGCCTCGAACATTCCTGTTGTGTTACGATGAAGATGATGATGAGCAAAGAACAAATGACTCTCTTCCTCTATCTCTCTCTCTCTCTCAACGCCCCAAGCACTGTTTTTTTTTTTTTCTTTTGTTTTGCTTTTTTTTTCCTCTCTCTCTTTTTGTTACCCAGACAGCCGACAAAAACTGTTTAGCCAAGCCTCCTCCTCCTCCTCCCAGCCCGAACGCCAACAGAGGCTCGCGTGGACATATACGTCCGCGGGGGAACCAGCAGACCGGTGGATTTAAAAGAACTGTCTGTCAAAATCCACCCGAGAGAAGCATCGTTTATCAGCCTGTCTGACTGACCGCCCTACACCACTATTGCACTCCCAGAGATTGCAGTGAGAGATTACCTTTTTTTTTTTGGGTAAACCTCATAGTTTTTGTTTGTTTTATTTTTTTTTTTAAGTGGCCTTACCTTTCACTAAAAAAAAAAAAAAAAAAAAAAAAAAAAAAATTTTGGGGGGGGGGGGGGTTTTTTTTTTTTTTTTTTTTTTTTTTTTAAAATTTTTTTGTCTAT